TATGGTATAACCCCGTCTTTTTTTACCTATTCTTTATGTGGATTTACGGGACTATAAGAAGTGTGTTTTAGACACTTCCTACTGAGCTTATGCTCACCCCATTATTTTTAACATTTTTCAGGTTCTGGAGAAGAAGTGGTGGATGACAACCCACCACAATTTTAGACGGGATTGGGACCTTTTTGATGTCATGTTTTGTATGTGGAGCTTAAGTCCTTTGTAATGTTCTAAGTGTAACTTTTGGAAATGTAAATTTTGTAAGCTTGTGTTTTTGTTAAAGAATGAGAAGGATCATGTATAAACATGTTGATATAAATCCTAGGTGAAAGTTGTAATCTTTATTCATCAGTTTTGAATGTGTACGGGATAGACCTACTCAGTTTAAAGCTCCGCTGTAGAATTTTATTCATTCCCAGGTTCATGGTGTTCTTCTGCATAATTTCAAGCTCGCAGGGCCATTTTGATCGGCTAAAATGAGCACTTCGGTCGACCGAACTGCCCAGAGACTTCAATGACTATTCATTTCACAACTGGCCGACCGAAATGACCACTTCGGTCGACCAGTACAGGTGCTATTTCGGTCGGCCGAAGCACTACTTCGGTCGACTGGTTTAGCTGTTGTATTTGTGCATTGTTCCTCATTTGGTTTGATTTATCTTCAAGCTACAACAAGTTGTTTAAGCTCTTTTAAATCATGTTTTGGGCACCATGTGGATGTGTTGACACTAGCCACGATGTGGATTGACTTAAGTATCCTCGGGTTCGGGTAAGAACCCGATTAACGGTACAAACCTCCGGGTTTGGGTCGTTACAACGCCCCAAATGGTTGTCGGTTTAGAGGCTAGGGATAGCTAATCAATCTCGCTTCAGTAAAGTTAGTTAGAGGTTTTTGGTGTGAGTTAGGGTCGGTGGAGACCAAGTTGGGAACATGGTGCATTGCATTACATTTTGAGCATATTTGTGATGAGTTGTATGTTTGCCATGATGATAATGGTTATATTATTTAAATGTTATAAAAACCTTGACGCATGACCCCGGTTCCTTCTTAACCCCTTTATGTGTTTCAGGCTCAATTGAGTCCAAAGTTGACGCCTTAGGAAACTTCTACTTAGCCTCCGTGCTCACCCCCTTTTTTTTTTTTTTTTTTCAGGTCACGGCAATGAGGTACTCGATGATGTTCCTCCACGTTTGTAGTCAGTGTTGAAGATTCTATTATTTTTGTAAAATTAGTAATTGTGTATTATTTTTGTAACAATTGGAGCAAACTTGTATTATTTTGAAATTGTCACCATGATGACGAGTGACTAATCTTTTGAATATATTTTGACGTATTTGGGGATGTAATTAAATTTAATCTTACTAAATCCTCTTGTGTATTTTATAGAACGCGTTTGTGGATTATTATAAAATTATGTTAATGTTGTTGTTGTTTTATTGGATGTTTTGGTGGTATTGGAGTGGTTTGTTACCAATGTTGGAGTAATTAAAGAAATAAAAAAAATATTTTTTAGACAGTGAGCATTTCCACTGTGTATAACCTAAACTGATTGACGTAAATTTCTCACACGTCGACCGAATGTCCTAAACTAGTCGACGTGTAGTTCACACGTCAACTGAATGTCCTAAACCAGTGGACGTGAAGTTCTCACACGTCGAACGAATGTCCTAAACCAGTTGACGTGTAGTGTTCACACGTCGACATGTTCTTGTTTTTTTTTAAAGTTGTGTTTTATTTCCCTCTTTTACCCTTTATTACACATTCAATGTTGCTAGTATTTACTATATAGCCCAATAAAATTAATTAATCATATTTTAACCACGAGAATGACCACATCACCCTCGGATTTAATCCTAATCGTTGGATGACCTTGGTAAATGACTATTTTGCCCTTGTTGTGCCTTAAAGTATTAATTTAATGGGAAATGACTATAGTACCCTTGCATGTCTTCAGGTTCGGGTGAGGACCTGGTTAGCAATTCGGAGCCTTGGGTTCGGGTCGTTACAGTGGTGATGGCTACGGCAGTGAGGGTGGTGACGATGACTACGACAGTGGCGGCAATTGCTGTGATTGTTGCCGATTATTCAGTGATCTGCGCCAATTATTCAGCCGCCACCGCCTCATCATCACACCTCAACCTCCCCCACCCTTGTCCCCGCCCCAGCAGCCTCATTATCGGCGGCGGAACCACTGATCTCATCCTCAGCTGTCCACATCATCTAGATCTGACGATGGTAGAACCACTGATCTCATCCTCAAAGCTTCGTTGCAGGCTAAAACATCAACTCTTACATGTTTGGAGGTGGTGGTGACTGTGGTTGTTTGTGTTTATGTGTGTGTGTATATATATGTGTATATATATAGAGAGAGAGAGAGAGATGAAAATGGTAATTTGGTCATTTAAGTATTTTAATATTTTATAATTAAAATTAATAAAATAGTGAAGGGTAAAGTGGACTTTTCACATGTTTTAAGGCTCTGTTTGGATGATAAATTTCACAACGCTGTACAAAAATAGGCAAACTTTCATCTGCATGGCCTTATCCCAAACCTCAAGTGGTGTCTCTGTACTTTATTCTAATAAAAAAATAATCCCAACACTCCTTTCTTTGGACAGGATTTGAGATTGATCTGTACCGTTGACAATTGAAAAGTTAGGTAAATTACTTTAACCTCTTTTAAGGTTTGGGTAAATCACATAGGAGTTGACCATTTAGTGTTTATTACTTTTACCATCTTGAATTTTTGACCCGTATACTCAACGACATCTCGAATAATTTCTTTTCAACAAATCTATTGGTCAAATTTTATAAAATGGTAATTTTGTATTCCCTTACTAACCTTTCACACTTAAAAGTCAATTTTCAACACTAATGAATAAGTTTAGACAAGATCAAATTAATAAACATTAAACCGTATATAATTTGTCAAAATCTCATAAGAGGTTGTCCAACTCTCGTGAGAGGCTAAAAAGTTACACTACTTCTACGCATAGTAACCAACATATCAAATCCTTACATTTACCTTCACTTTTGTCCAATAATTCTTTTAAACTTCATCTTTTTAACCTGTCAAATAAGAGGGTTGCTAACTAGCGACTGTGGTAGCGCAGTCGCGGCCTTAACAGTTGCCACGTATAGTTTACTTTTCCAACTACTGATTACTTCAATCACATTTTTTCTTGGGCCTTTTATCAAAGTATAATTACCATCTTGCCCTACTACTCTTTACAGAAAAATGAGAACCCCTCCTCTCTCTCTCTCTCTCTCTAACCTCGCATTCTGTATCTAATTTTCTTACCAAAAATGACGATGAAAACACCAGTAATAACGCACCATCACAAAATTTTAAACTTGCAAACCAAAACTATTAAGTTCCAACACCAAAAATCAGGCAACATAAACATACCAAATTAGGTACCAAGCAACTTGAAAACAGAGCCAAAAATGTATATTGACACCAAAGCAGAATCCGGCGATGAGAGAGTTGTCGACAGAGATAGAGCGATGAGGTGTTGATAGTTCCATCGTGGCCGGCAAAGTGATTAACGGCACAGAGGAGTATTGAGCAACGGGGTGAAGAAGGCCGGACCGGCGAGGATAATATTGCGAGGTAGCGATGGAGGCCGGAGGGGAAGAAGGGGAAGATTTTCTCGACGTAATCGATGTAGCCGCCGTTGCCGGGGTAGGCAGGCGGTGGCGAGCTCATGAGGAAGATGAGGGGGATGAGGGTTAGTTTTTGTTGGTGGCGGTGGTGGGGAGCTGGTAGGGGGTGTCTGGGTGGTGGTGGAGCTGTGTCTCCGGTGGTGGTCCGGTGGTGGTCATGGCTGGTTTTGTGATGTGGGATTGAATTTCTAGAATAATGATTGGTTGGCGAGAAAATTGGATCAGAGATTATAGGATTGAGGGACCATCTTCATTTCACTATATTAGTGATTTATTGCAGAGATTCAACACTTTACTGGTGTTTTCATTTTTCTGTAAAAAAATTAGACACGAAGAGAACTGAGAAGCGAGGTTTTAGAGAGAGAGAGGAGGGGAAATTTCATTGGTGGTTTCATTTTTCAGTTAAAAAGATAATGGGATAAGATGGTAATTATGGCGACTCATTCCATGAATTCAAAAATTGGGCTAAAATTTGGCGAGTCCATTTTAGTACTGGACTCCCCGAAATTGACCCAAAATGGCCAAATACATACGTTATTGGAGTTGCTTTTAGCAGTGAGATGCAATGTACAGAAATTTTGTTGCATCCCATGGCGGCATTGTTATTATGTTATAGGTCCAGTATTTCCGATAGAGCATAACATAGAAAAGAAAATTTCCAAAGGGATAATGATTTGTTGGCGGGCTGGACATCGACCTATGGGGCCGACTAAAGGAAAGCCTTTCCATGGCAGATGTCGGCTAAAAAAACGACTCCTAATAAATATCTACCGAAATTTGCTCCGTCCTTTCACTAGTCTTCTCTTTTTTATACATGCGAATCGTTGCTCTCATTTGTTTACTCTATTTATCATTTCACAAGAGCCCCTGTTTTTTCCTCTCAACCAAAGGTTTCAAATATGGCCGAAGTGGTCTCAGTTCAATCATTTACCATATAAACCCATTTCAACGATGCCTCAATTCAGCTCCAAAGCCTCTCTCTTTCCTCTGAATTTGATTGATTTTTGGACCATAAAGTCAGGACAGAGGTTGAAGGTTTCGATCAGAGAATTCAAGAAAGCCAGGCCAGTTTTGAGAGTGAATGTTGCGAATGAAGATGAATGGACACCGGAGGAGGCGTCGGACATGGTGGTGGCCGACGAGGAGGAGGAGGAGGAGGAGGAGGAGGAGGAGAAGCTGGATACGTTGAAGAAACAGTTGATCGTGGACTGAGAGCAACGAGGGAGACAAGGGCGGAGATTGTCGAGCTGTTTATGCAGCTCGAGGCCAAGAATCCGACTCCGGCACCGACTGAAGCTTTGACTCTCCTCGACGGTAAATGGATTTTTGTGTAAGTTTTCACTCATCACATTCTTCATTATTTTTGCTAGGCCAAACGCTGCACACTTTTTTAAAAAACACTGAAGATTTCACTTTTCAGCCTCAAACCTCTCTCTCACACTTAACTGCGATTTTCAGTGATGCTAAATTATAAACCCTATATGTCGATCAACTAGAGTCCGACCCGCAAGATAATACGAGTTTGGTGTCGGGTGTGAGACCTGGACCAAAACAAAATTAGGGCCACAACTTCACAATTTCAAATTGATTCAATTTATTTATTTATTTTCACTCGTTATTTTGAATTGATGATGATTTTTATACTAGTGATCGTGATGTTATTTCCACATTGTTCGCTGTGTTTCATTTTAGACTCAGAAATCACAAAAATGGTCTTAGGGAAGACTCGGACGTCCTTTTAGAATTTTGATCACATTTTGAAGCTTGTCAATTTGTTAAACATTGGTTTGAACTTGCTTCGTTGCTCAATAAGCTAATGAACTATTAGGAAACGAAAAACTAAAGTACCAGATGTCACTCTTGCGAGTTAGAGTCACAAAGCAGTTGATAAACTGAATCAAGTTCAAGGAATTTTTTTTTTATTTGAAGGTTAAGCAAACACACACACCCATGGAGGCTCGAACATGTGATCTCCCCAAAGGGGAGGAGGGCTTGTACTAGCTGCGCTATTGCCCATTGGTGAGTCAAGTTCGAGCTTGGGAGTAACTAGTTACTACTCAACTTGATTTGACCCGTGCATGATTCTTTAACTTCTCTATAATTTGTATGATGGAAGTATCCGTGTTGGCTATTCTTTATGTTAGAAAATTTAAGTTTAAGTACCATTAGATGGTCCCATGAACTCGAATACAATCCAAAAATTTATCTTTTCAAGTGTACAATGGAAGTATGTCCACTAATGTTTTTGGTATAAAATTTAAGTAGAAGTAAAAGCTAGTACGGTCCAACAATGAACTTCAATTCAGCAGGACTCATGCCATGTTTTGACCACACAAGCATATCTCTGATGAATAATGCAATACAATTTCTATATTGCCTGCTATTGGTATTCATGTAACTCACATCTTGAGATATTTGGAAGCTAGGATTTGTCATTCATAGATGCACAATGTGTTGTACAATAATTCAAGTGTACAAAAGTACTACTATGTGTGCTTGTTAATGGAAAATAGCTGAGACGGGGACCAACAAAAGGCTCTGTAAATTTATGAAAACAGGATCATCTCTATGATGTTTATGCTGGATCTAGCTAGATTAAATGAACAACCAACCACCAATCCTGTGGGATCTAACTACAAATTAATTTATTTTCATTTCTATAATGTTTGATCTTCAATCATTGTTGATTATGTGTGGTCAAATTTATTACTCCCAGAGCCACAACCTACATAGCCATATAAGAGTCCATAAGGAACTTCCAAATTTTAGGGTCATAGTTACTAGGAGGGATAAAAAGTAAGGAGTATGGAAATGGCATAAGAGATACATGAGGTTTGAGACAGCACTATACCAATTTTCTGTCTTCATTATATATTTCTTAAAAACAGTTTAGAATGTACAAGATGAATAGTCGAAATCATCATTATCCAACTAAAGTTATAAATTAATCACAGATCCCATTAAGAGAATTTGGGATCCTCTTTGATCATATGATTAACATTAGATACGCAGACATGGTTCACGTTGATAATTAATAAAAATAAATTGAATTCCATAATAATTATCTGCATTACTTCACATTTGTTTCTCCAGCTATTTTCCAATTTGATTCCTTCTTGTGTGTCCTCTTCATTTTCAAGGTATTGATTTTGTTAGAACCTAAAATGGAGCAATTTATGTAAAAATTGCAAAGTATTGTTTTTATTAGAACCTAAAACGGAGCAATTTATATAAATTCAAGTTTAAATCCATGTTGTAGTGTGAAGGTCTATTTCTGAGTTTGAATCTAAGTTGGATCTTGTGAACATATTTATGGATAATCCAAACAAAACTTAATATACTAAAACGGATATGTTTCATCAAATATCATCAAAGTTGATTTCTTTTATCTGTATTTATATTCAGGTCCAACCTGAAATTTAAGATTGAATAAGATTCATTTATGAGCTATTTTAAAATTAAATTTATATTCATAATCTAAGCACAATTAACCGAATTTCAAATTTCAAATTGGACTATTTTGACTGCAGACACGTGTATCATGTTAATGGCATCTCACTTTTTCTAACAAGCAGAGAATTAAGGCCAACAAAATTCTACAAACTGCTTTGATTATTCTGCAATTTACAAAATCAAGTGAAAGCAGAAGAAGAGCAAGTTGTAACTTTTTCAGTCAACACTATAGGGGCTGCTTGGTTCAGCGGAAAACAAACTCTTGAAGTATTCAAAGAAGACAAATCTCTGAATACTAGCAGAGAAGAAAACGGGGAGATAAAAAGGTTTTATGTAATACTTTTAGAATACGAACTATGAACTCAACTAACTAATTTAAACTCAGAATATAAAGACTTCACCAAGAATTCTGAATCGTTTAGAAAGTTATGTACACATATATTTTAACTTTCAGAATATTAGCTTTTATACATGCCTACATGGTCGCTGTGACTGCATGCTTAACTCTGAAGCTACAGTTGATGAGAGAGATTTTTATTCACAAGAATCAGAACTAGTTACTTTTTCTTTTATCATTCTATATTCTACAAAACCTATTGAAAAAAAAAAAATAATAACATACTTGTATCAAAATAATTCAAGAAGCGAAAATCAGTTACATGGGATTCTCAGGCTCTTTGGCCGGTTGTTTCAGCCGGAAATAGACTTTTTGATTGTGGCAGATGAGACTGTTTGATGTGATTATGGTGTTCTCTGAATTGAAAATAGCTTTTACTGAAATATATAGCCATCTCACCTCTCCACCTGTATACTATTTTTAGCTTTACCTCTTGTTAATTGAGTTACCTAATTGTGCCGGAACAATAATGCAGTTCCATAAACTTTATCATAGCATATTCTTTTTGGCATTGTTTGTGCTCATTAACAAATATTATGCAATCGATGTCGTGACATATCTTTTGGAGCTTTTTGCACAATATAATTATCTCTTGATTCTATTGTTTGTATTCAAGAATGTATCAAATTTGTATCCTCCTTTGAGCAAACAAAATACTGTTCAACAGTTACCTCTGTCATAATTTAATAGGTCTATATCGATATCCATTAATGGAACTACTGTGTATATATTCTATGGAAAGACAACCGAGCATGTAGCTTTGCTGGTTGAGGTTTCAATCCCAATTGATAAAGTAGTTTTTGTGAATGGTACAGAGTAAACTGAGTCAGAAAGTGAAATTCTTTGCCTCAAGATAATTATCTTGGCATCACAACTCTATCTTTGGTAGATCAATCTCTTTTTCCACTTTGTTATTTGATTAAGTGAAGTAGATACCATGCCTTTATAATTATAGGATAAGAAATGTCCAATTAATGCACTGTTAAAGTGCAATGCACAACTTAGCAAAGAATGTGACTGTACAATAACAATGACATGTAATATGGTGGAAAAAATTGCTTAAATTGGATTAAAATCATACACTATCCTTTCCAAATTGACCACATATGTTTTAAAAAGAAGTAATGCAAAGCGGCTGTAAAAGGACTTTTTTAGGTGGCACAACTTTTGTCAAAACACTAGGATAAGTGCTGGAAAACAATAAAATAAAAACTCAAAGCCCCTGACGTCACACACAATCCACTTTCTCTACCAATTCAAACACTAGACTTGCAGACACACTCTCTCTCTACCATTTCTGCACGACACTTGGCTCTATCGCACTGAGTTCGTGAAAAAGGTGTTTGGCCTGTAAAAGTGGTTGGTTTTGATGGAACTAGATAGGCGTGCTAGGAACTGCTGTAGTTCCGAAGAGAGATTCAAACAATATTCCCGAAGGAAGATTGCAAGACCAGGCGACTGTGATGAGGTCTGGAATGAACACCTCAGGGTTCTTTTTGCTTTTAAAAAAGGATTTCGGGATTGTTAACTGGCTAGGAAGAATTACGTTACTTATGAAAGTAATTGACTGGAAAGTAAGATTATTTAATGTAAAGTGCAAAACTTCGACTACACGTATTGAAATTGCATTGCAATGAAAATAAAGATTGTATTGAAATGCTGTGTTTGTGCGTTGAGCAGGCCTTTTAAGTTACAATATCATGCCCTATTTATAGAATTTAGTAATGGTAGCTTGCATGTAACTGCTTGCTTCCTAGGCTGCCATGTGACCCATGACTTTGCATGTAACCGCTTGCTTCCTTAGATGCCATGTGTCCCAAGACTTTCCACTGAAACGTTGTAGTACCTTTCCATTGGAATCGACCAGCTTTTGAGGTTGCCATGTGTCCCATGACTTTGCATGGAATCGCTTATAACTGCTCGCTTCCTAGGCTGCCATGTGTCTCATGACTTTGCGTGTAACCGCTTACTTCCTAGGCTGCTATGTGTCCATGACTTTGCATGTAACCGCTTGCTTCCTTGGTTGCCATGTATATCAAGACTTTCCACTGGAACGTCGTAGTATCTTTCCATTGGAATCGACCAGGGCAATCTTCCACTGGAAAGTGGAAAAATAGAGTGTAAACAAGAGGTGACCTCAAATGGTGATGGATTGGAGGTCTTCGACTATCTATGTACAGTTTGTGGGAAAGATCGAGAGAATTTTGAAACCTAATTAGGTATTCCACCTATCCATTAGTTGATGTATTTGTACTTGCTTTTCATCCAATCTGGTTCATCTAATAAATTCTATATCTTTTAATATGTTTATTATCTTTCATCTCTGCAATTCCACTATACAGTCGAGTTTTGGTGGTGCAGAGTCGGTTAAAGAAGAGCAGAGACGTATTTGTTCATATTTAACACACAATTTTCCTTTCACTTCTCATTACTTAGTGCATTTATAGAGATCCTAAGCTGGAATGAGAATACAAATTGTTAATATTTGCCAAATCCTATATATATTAGTATGCTTAATTTGGTCCAGTGTTTAATTTGTCTTTGGCCTTCCTAAATCTTTGTTGTAATGATATTCATTGTTATTTTCCTGATCTATCACATTACTTTGTTCTAAATTGATTATTGGTACCTATTGCAAAAACACCCGCTTAATTTCCTCATTTTTGGTAGTTGTTTATTGCTTATTTCTCAATTTTTTGGTGTGCTCAACATTTGGTGCAGAGTATTGGGACATCACTGAGTTTGTCGTGTGTAAGAAATATTTAGCTCTCTTCCTTCATTTGGCTTTTGTTTTAATTTCAGAGTTATTATACCGCTTCATGATTACTTATCAAAAAAAAAAAATTATACCGCTTCATAGGGGTGGTAAATGGGTGGGTTGGGTTGGGTTGAAAATGGGCGGGTCAATATGGGTTAAGACCCATATTTAACCCGTTCAGAACGGGTTCAATATGGGCGGGTTGAATATGGACAGGGTCAACTCGTTATGACCCGTGAATCCATTAATTATTATTATTAATTATTTTTTATTTTATTTTTATTTTTCTTTTTTAATTTTTTAATTTTTTTTTATTAAATGTTAACATGATTATTAACCTTTTGCAACCCCAATGCTATCATCATACATCCCTCTCTCTATATATACCATATATATGTATATGTGTATATGTATATATAGCAGAGGAAAACACAATCACCTCTCGGCTCTCATGACTTTCTCTCTCTACATATATATGGTATATATATGTATATGTGTATATGAATTGCATGTGTATATATATATATATATATATATAGCATAGGAAAACACAACCACCTCCCTACATTCCCACGATCACGACATGCGCCTTCAAATCCGATTCCCATGAGTCCATTACAAACTGGGCTCTAACATATTATAAAATTATATATGTATTGTTTCCTTCACTCATTCCAAATTTTACAATCTCACTTTCTCTCTCTAGATGAATATATGGTTCTAAATAATGGCCCGCCAAATCTAAATCCGTAAATTTTTTATTTTTAAAATTTTTTAAAATTATTTTTTAACTATTAATTATTTTTTAATTTTTTTTATAAAAAAATTAATTATTTTTTAATTTTTAAAATTTTTTATAATTATTTTTTTTTGAAAGGTTTTAAAAATTTTAAAAATTTTATTTAAAATTTTTTTTTTTTTTTTTTATTTTTAAAAATAGATTTTAAATATTAATTTTTTTTTGAAGAAGTTTCTAGAGAGAGAAACTTAGAGAGAGGGGATTGATAAGAGACAAATTTAGAGAGAGAGGATTGTGAGAGAGAGAATTTTAGAGAGAGAAATGAGTTGAGTGCATAGAATATATGTGTGTCGTGTGTTTATTATGTGATGGGTGAAATATGGGTTGGATATGGTTAACCATAGTAACCATATTCAACCCATCTTGACCATCAAATTAAGTGGTTAAAAATTACCCAACCCATCTTGACCCTCAAATTAAAATGGTTCACCCATAACCATTAAAAGGCGGGCGGATATGGGCGGGTTGATGGTTCCTGACCCATTTTGCCACCCCTACCGCTTCATGACTATATAATTTCTGAGGCTTTTCAGGTGAAACATTTTAACCTGTACATACCATTGTTGAATTCTTGGATATACCGAGCAATTATACACTCCATTAAAATGTTTTAGTATGTGACTAGATTTGCTCTGTTTTGAAAGTAAGCACTATTCTCTGTTTTTATTTTTTTCAACCTTGTACACTTGAGTAGCTCACACACATATAATATCATGCATAGTGTTGAAGAAAATGATAACAATGCATGCCCAAAATACTTTGTTTTATATAGTTTTGTATTTCATTTCTCATGTTAGAAATTGCAATCTCAAGACTTTTTGTGAATTTTTCATTGATACTTGTGGTGTACGGTTGAATTTGTTATGGTTAGATGATTCCTTTGTTGAAGATTTTATTTTATTTTTTATTATTATTATCTGATGACGAGATCTAGTTGTTGATTTGATTAGATTACAATATCATATGCGATATGGAGGATAGTAGCACAATCATTTCATTCAACCCCGTGCTAAAAGTTGAGTACACGACTTAATTAAGCTAAGCTAGCATTGAGTTCATACTTCATAGATTTAAAAATTGAAGACAGTTTTTATTTTCAAGTGATTTCAAATTTTCCAACAATTGAACTCTAATTAGTCATTTAGTTCAAAAGACACGACTAGCCTTCCTTTCTATTACCAGATGAAAGCATATTAGCATTAATTAGAGCAAATTGCATGATCTATTTACAGTTTGAGATAATGGTTCTAACAACTCTATGATATGCATGGAAATTTGAGATGCTTGGGCCATTTGGGAACTTAGTATACTGATTTTGGTTGCTGATAAGTACCTTGATTCTTTGACATCCATATATTTTTCTTGTCGATGTTATACCTCTAAGCAATTCCAAGCAATTCCAGTATTTTCCAACATGATTCAACTAGAAAGAAATAGAGGATATTGTACCTTGGAACTAAGCTGGGTTCATTTTTATAGATTAGTATCAATAATTTTAATTATTTACACAATTGTATACTCTTCATAGGTTTGCAATGAAGTCGGCACTTATCATGCATTACAAAATCCCAGAGCATCCTACCCTTCATCTTCTCATTTACCTTTATCACATGTAATTATGAAGTAGCATTTGACTCTGTATGGTCAAGTCCTGTCTTCAAATGATGCACACCGTATTAGATTGTGTTGACGCTAGAATCGGCTCCTAAGATCCGATTCGGAATTGATGTTTACAGGCGTGCCAGAACCAATAATATGGTTCGATTGTAAATAGTCAACGTTAGTCTCTTTAAGAATATTGATTATCAGGCGATGCGAGGATAAAGAGAACAGTGATACTCTTCTTAGAGTTCAAGAATTGCCTTAATTAAAAAGACTTTTAATTGAATGAATTATAGTAATGATTGAGAGAATAGAAAGGGGAAAGAAATAGATATAGAAAGAATAGAGAGAGAGAGAGAAAGATTTAGAGGGAGAGAGATAGAATGAGAATAAAAGAGATAGGGAGAGAGAGAGAAATAGCAAGAATGCTATTTTGGGAAAGAGCTTGAGAAAGCAAACAAATAAATTAAAGATTCTAGGGTTGCTGGACCCCTATCTCAGCATGCCTCTTTGATTATTTATAGAATAAAACATGGAAACAAACTCCTATATGCAAGTATTTTACTTGCATTACAACTCTATCACAACTAACTATAAATTCAAAATAAACTAATCCTATAGATAACCCAACTAACTATAAGTTTAAAATAAACTAATCCTAAAGATAAACATAAATATTTAACTTACATCAACTAAAAGATAAATACTAAAATTATAATCCCTATCCATTAAATAACTCAAATGCTTCAATCTCCTTTGCCTCTTAATGTAGCTTCTGTTACCTTTTTCACGTGTCAAATTGGTTGCCATATCATTAATACAAAATTTACCAAAAAGGGTGTCAACAATGCCCCCTAATTTTAAATGTCTTATCGACTGTCGGCCGCCCAAGCCGATAAGATATTTGAAATTTAAAGTACATTGGAAGAAAATTTTGAACAAAGGTTACGCTAGTCACTTGGAATCAGATTGCAAATCAATGAGCTCCAAAGCTTTATTTCTTCTGAATTACCTCTAAGATGATCTTTATTTCATTTTAGCCAAATCTGCCGATTTAGGCTTCTTCCTAGAATCTCATAAAGTTTGCCGATATTGCCGGTCCATAAACCCAGGAAGGACTTGCCCCCCATGCGTTTTCTAACTCCTCTAGCAAATCATGATCATGATCGGCAAGAATTAAATTATTGTGAAGCGTCATTCTAGCCGATCTGCCTATTATCTCTACTAGATAAATGATATTGAGCCAGCAAGGAGTTTTCTTAGCTGAATTCCTTTCAGCCGATTTTGCCTTAGCTGATTTTTCCTCCAGCTTAATCGGCAGGACTGTATCATGCCCAAAAGTGCATTGATCGGCAAACATGACCTCACTATACTCGGCATGCTGAAATGGAGCGTATGGATCAAATAACTTTTGTTTGGGGTTTGCAATCACATCCCCCCCGGCAGCCGCTGGTTTTTTAGCCGATTTTCTTATAACCAATTTTGTCGTAGTCGATTTTCTTTCAGCCGATTTTACCTCAGCCGATTTTCTCAATCGATTTTTAAGTACCCTTGTGAAATTAACATCTGCTAGTCTTTTTCTTCTTTTCTTGAAGTTGGGCTGAGGACAGCGAGTAAAACAATTCTTTCAGCTGATGATTGTTTTTGCCGATTATTAGATGTCACAATCGGCAAAGAATTCTGGTACATAGGCCGCTTTGCTTTTAGCCGATTTGTAGCTTTCCATTCATCAGTAACATGCTGATAGCTTTTCCAACTTTGTTGTTGATAAGTCATCTGTTGTGACTGATTTACCGTCTGCCGATAATCGACTACTGGAACTTGCCGATAATTGGCAGTCGGTGACTGATAATATTCTGGCAAACTTTGCTGCCGATTTTCTGATAAAATTTCCTGCCGAGATCGACAAGACTGGCCAATTTCGGTACTGGTTATCGACAGCCCCTCATATAACAGAGGTTGTGATACAGGGGTGACATGTTGATTTACCACCTGGTCAGGATAAGGTTTCTTGTACACAGGTTGAGCACATTTACGCCCTTGAGCTACCTCGGTTTGGATAAGCTGAGCCATCAATTCTTTAATCTCCTGATCAATCTCCCCAATTTCTTGCCGTTCTCTCTGAGGGGGAATCGGCATAACTGGTGGGCGTTGTAGAATAACCTTTGCTGATTTTACATTCGGCTCAATCGGCATCAATTGTATTTCTGTTATTATCAGCGGATTGCCGATGGGCATACCAAAAGTTGTGTTCGGCGGGACAATTACTGTCGTAGTTGTTTGTGGCCCTTGAGAAATGTTTGTCAACGGTAAAGAAATACGTTGAAAAATTGATTCAAGAGATGTCGAGTTTTCAGCTCGATAACGACTTTGGATAGTCGATATCTGAGCCTTCATTGCTTTCAAATCCTGAATAATCTCTTGCCAATCGGCTATCACTTGCCGATAATCGGCTGCTGGCGTCTGGTTTGCCATTTGCTGATAATCGGCTACTGGTCGCTGATAACTTTCAGGCCAACCATATGACTGATTGGCTTCACCTGCCGATAATCGGCTTCTGGTGACTGGTTTACCATTTGCCGATAATCGACTATTGGAACTTGCCGATAATCGCTTATTAGAACTTGCCGATAATCGCTTGTTGGAACTTGCCGATAATCGACTATTGGCGTCTGCCAATAATCAACTATTGGAACATGCCTATAATTGGCTGCTAGAGCATGCCGATAATCGTTTGTCCAACCATATGGCTGATTAGAATACTGGTACATCGGCTGATTTGAGTTATTAAAATATTTGTATGTTGGTTGAGAAGCCGACTGCATATTTTTACTATAAATCACTCACCTAGTGGGGTCCCACCGAGCGTGCCAAGAATGTTGACGCTAAAATCAGCTCCTAAGATTCGATTTGGAATTAATGTTTACAGGCGTGCCAGATCCAATAATATGGTTCGATTGTAAATAGTCAACATTAGTCTCTTTAAGAATATTGATTATCAGGTGATGCGAGGATAAAGAGAACAGTGATACTCCTCCTAGAGTTCAAGAATTGCCTTAATTAAAAAGACTTTTAATTGAATGAATTATAGTAACGATTGAGAGAATAGAAAGGGGAGAGAAATAGATATAGAAAGAATAGAGAGAGAGATTTAGAGGGAGAGAGATAGAACGAGAATAAAAAGACATAGGGAGAGAGAGAAATAGCAAGGATGCTATTTTGGGAAAGAGCTTGAGAAAGCAAACAAATAAATTAAAGATTCTGAGGGTGCTGGACCCTATCTCAGTATGCCTCTTTGATTATTTACAGAATAAAGCATAGAAACAAACTCCTATATGTAAGTATTTTACTTTCATTACAATTCTATCACAACTAACTATAAATTCAAAATAAACTAATCCTATAGATAACCCAACTAACTATAAGTTTAAAATAAACTAATCCTAAAGATAAACATAAATATTTAACTTACATCAACTAAAAGATAAATACTAAAATTATAATCCCTATCCATTAAATAATTCAAATGCTTCAATCTCCTTTGCCTCTTAATGTAGCTTCTGTTACCTTTTCAACGTGTCAATTTATTCCCAAATTAGTTGCCATATCATTAATACAAAATTTACCAAAAAGGGTGTCAACAGATTGGGTCTAGGTATGTATATCTTTCTCCAACTCTTCCTATGTATAGAGCTATGTTTTTCTCTTAGATATATATGTATAACCAGCTATTGAAGCTCACAATGGAACAGATTGAAGCTCATCTATGTTGAATTAAGAGATTCTTTGTTCCCTTGGCGATTCTCTGTTCGGGTGAGACAGAGACATATTAGGTGAGAAATTTTGCTTTTACTTCTCTATCTCTTTATTTCTTGTTGAAAAATGCATGAAAATCTGCTGGAACTCTCTCTCTCTCTCTCTCTCTCTCTCTCTCCACGAGATAGCAATTCCATGAGTCCTCTAGTCTCTCTCTCTCTCTATTTATTAATTTATACATACATTTTTATTCTTGTATTTAATATTCATATGTGAATATCAGAAGGTGATCTTATGTATTCCTGCGCATGTTTGAGTATATGTCTGTGTGATGCATACATATACATATATAACAGGATTGGGAAATTATTTGCAACCAAACAATTTCTCAAGCTTTCCAGGTTAAATTATATTACTTATTGAAATTGACAATGTTGTTTGGACGGTTGAACTAGTTTTTTTTTTTTTTTTTGGAGATTTAGTTGGCATTGTTTTTGATGCTGAAGTAACTTTTCTTTCAAATATATTTCTGTTTTAATTAGTAATGCATTTCCATATTAAACCAACTGGTGGTAACTGTAAACCAATTTTCTAACCCATCAGCCAAAACCAAAAAAGGCATATTTTTCTCCTGAGATACACACAAGAAAACCCAGTGTTGGAGAAGAAGCTTGAGAAAAAACCCAGTGTGCATGTCAGTTACAGTGTGCAACTTCATTTCTTTGATACTATGCATATGAATACAACATATATATGTGTATTCTACTACTGCATGTAAGGATAAAATCTAGCTCTGAACTGTACCGATTTTAGTTGATTTTCTTCTAATATTAACCTGCAATTATTTTCATCTCTAAAGATTGAATTGATTATTTTCTTCAATTTGTGCTCTTTTCTGAAGCATTTCTGTAATTAAATGTGCTTTTAGTTGAAGTTGTTTACTTACCAAAAATTTGTTTCATTATTTATTAATCTTTTGTCAAAACTTTGGGTTTTTTATTCTTTTAGATCTAAATCGAGGAGATGAAGAATAGGCTAGAAGTAGACGATGAGTAATGACCAGAGGTTTCCTTAGTTTCATCAGCATCAATTGTGATTTGCAATAAGGCACTTATTAGCACATTATTTTAATTTTGGCCAATTATTAACAACCTCTGCTAACTAGCTTGTGGTGAATATTTTTTGCTATTTAACTTGTTTCAATCCTTGCTATATTTAGTTTCAGTTCTTGCTTTGTTTCTATGTTTCTTAAATTAATTATGTTGATTAAGTGGCAAGTTTGTCACTGATTTTATATGCAACATATGGGTGTATAAGGCAAAGATAACATTTTTGTGCCAGCACTAAAGGGAAACTAACCATAAAGTTAATGAAACATTAAATTAATAAATGAGTGAAAGTGTTTCACGATTAAAATTGTTGCTTTTAGATCTCTCTCACCATTACTTCTGCTTCTATCCTATGAAACTATCATTTGCCAGGAAGACAGATTTATGAAATATATTATGTCTTCTTTTTAAAACATTTGATGGTGAAGTAACTTTTCTGAGGATATATATATAAGAAGTTTGGCCAAATACAAAAAGCAGAATAGGTAGACTAGGAAAAGAGAATCTTGCTCTACTGCCCAGCCTTTTCCATTCCGGAACTCACCTCACAGTTTATTGATATGTGACTTGAGCTTAATTAAGCTTAATCAATTAATTGCCCTTTGTTTTACTAAACCTGGCTGGTTGTACAACTAAGCTCCTCCTTTTCTAGTTTCTGAATGGTAAAACATGATAGGATTGTTGAAAACTATTACTGAATTCTTTTACTATTCTATAGCACCAGTCTTCCATCATTTGCTAGTATTCTACTTGAATAATCTATCTTGAGTTTTTCATTAAGCACCAAAAATATTTTCTTAAGTAGATTTCTCTATTTACCTAGGTTAGTAAAGTGACATTTTTCCTTTAATGCAGGTACTTGTTGGTGGCATTGATGCAGATACCATGCTACTGGATTTTTGCTTTATTAATAGTGAAGATGAAGCACATTGATTCAAACCATTGTATACATTGTTGCTAGAGTGTTGATAGAATTGTCTGAAATTTCTTTTGTATAATTTGACATTTTTATATTTACTTATTCATGATAACTAATGTATACATTGGTAGAGTTTCGGTAAATTTGAAGTTTGATTCTTTTTGTTTAAATTACTCCATGTGGACATGATTTAGCAATGTATACATTCCCTGATAATCTGGTAGCTAGGAAGTTACTGTTATATAAAACTCTTTGGCAGCAGATATTATTGCTCCAAAAGGCAGAAAATAGGCAGCTATAAAGGGTCTTTGACAGCATATAAATGTTGCCTATTGTGGCCCTAAGGTAGTGGCCATGACTACCGTGCTTTTTTATTGCACACAGTTTTGCCAGCAGATATCGCTGCAAAAGGTTTAGGCAGCAGTTTTTATCACTTGTAGCAGCAGAAATATCTGCTGCTATTTCCTGTTTTTGTTATAGTGATTAGAACTGATGGCTAGGTGGGAAATGATTGATGTTTGTGATGTGTTAGAGCTTCTGTCTCCTGTTTTTGATGGTGAAAAGGTCAGTAGTACATATATATACATGTTTTTGTGTTTGTCTGTTCATCTTCATTATAAGGATTGAATTGACATGGAATAACTCAATTCTACTCAACATAGTCTTCTATCAATTATGTGGAACTGGTTACATGAATTTTGCTGTATCTAGCGTCACATTCTTTGTCAAATTACATGCTATCTTAACGTTTGTACTATCTCAATTCTCAACCTTTGTTAGTTTTGGTCTTCTCTTCCCCCAATACAACTTGCAGTACAAATTCGATAATGTAGATAAATTGTGTATATTGTTCTGAATTATAATATATCATTATCCCTTTAACTGGTTTGTACATATGCTGTCAGTGTTCTTGAAAGAGCTGATGATGAAGAGCTCCATTGTTACCTACTTCAACTAGTTCAAGCTTTGTGGTTTGAGTGCTCTGATAAATCTCGCCTTTCTCATTTGCTTGTGCAATGGTGTATTCATGCTGTTATACACAAAATTTTCAAAGTGGCAATTTTATGGTATTTTGCAGTTAACTACTTGATGTCATCTGAAAGTGTCCTTGAACTATGGCTGCATTATGTAATATTGAGTTGGCTAGTTTTCTCCGGTGGTAAGGTGCAGTGGAACTTCATGATCCTACATATGCAAAACGTTTTTATTGTACCTATGACATTCTAGAAGAAAATATGATGAAGGTATGGTGTCCTCATTTTCCATTATTGCATTATTAGATAAGACGATTTGAAAATCTTATGATGCAAGACATATACTAGGATGATGTTAATATATATATATATATATATATTTGCTTTAGATAGTGATGAGAAACTGTCTTTTGGTAGGGAGAAATATTCAAGCTTCGATCTAATTGCTTTAAACAATGTCAATTGTGGTATTTTTGTTTATATATCACAAGGGGCCATCTCTGAAGAGTAATTGTATCATGAGGGCGTATCCCCCGAGCCCATGTTCTCATCCTCGTTGAATTGTGAGGATGATTGCACAACTTATTGTTACGACAAAAGCAACAAATCAAAAACAAAACAAGAATCAAGACAGAAAAGTAAACACGCAACACATAAAGAGCAAAAAGATTTACGTGGTTCGGCGTAATCCTCCCCAATGAAGATCTGACGATACATTTTACTATGCAAAAATTAGGTTTTACTATGCAAAAATTAGGAGATTACAAGTTTCAGTCTTGAAACCATAGCTCTCGCTCTCCCTCTCTTTCCTACAATTTTCAGCGTTCTTTTGTTACCCACTCCAAATCCTAAAGGCCCTTATACACCGGGACTATAATAGAGTTCTAAACAGGGTCCACGACCCGCAAACAAAAAATGGGTCATAATTTTTTTTTTTTTTTTTCTTTTTCTTAATTGGGTTGTGACCCAGACCGAAGCAAAATTCAGGCCACAACATCACACTCATGATCCAATGGTGATGAGGGCATGGCTCAGTGATATTGCCCTTGCTGTATCTTTTTCCTTCTCAGAATCAATTTGGAAGTTAATCCTAAGTGTGGATTGCGATTGCAAGTCCCACTGCATATGTATGACCTAAACTTTGAACACCAAATTATAATCAACAATAGTTTATAAGAGGCTTGGGGGCTTGTTTGATTCAGTTCTATGAAAACAGAACTGTCTGAAAGCAAATTGTTCAGAGAACTTCAAACAATTGTAAACTTTATTATAACAGGCAGTTCTCTGCATGCCTCTTATTATATTTTTTATTTTTTGTTTATTTATTTTAAACTCAGTTTTCAGAATGCAATTTCAGAAAATTGATAACCAAACTAATTTTTGAACTGTTTTCTGCTTTTCATTCTTGAAATGTGGAAAACAGTAGAAAACTGAATCAAATAGGTTCTTGGTGTTTTGGAATAGTATGAGAATAAAGGGGGTTACCATATCATTCCCAAAAAAGTCATGGTCTTTTAAGATTATGGCCGCATTGATTTGTTTTTCATTTTAATCCTTTTGGGCATATAGAGCAAATTAAGTTTTAGGTAAATAGAGTTGGCGTGACTGGAAATGATGATGGATTTAAGTTTCGGCAGAGTTTGGTGCGCCAGACAGAACTGACTGCTCATCTGTGTTCTGTAATTTAGGAAATGTATGGGGCAGAACCCAGAAGAAGATTGAAAATCTTAGACAGCTTCTTTTTGGCCTTCTAAGTGATTTTACCTTACTTTGAAGAGGTAATTCTGTTAGATAAAGTTCGTCAACAGATCACATTATTAGCTCAAATTATGTTGTTTGTTTGACATATTGTCACTGCATCTGATCATTTTCAGACTTTGTCCCATATATTACTCATTGGATTTGACTATTCATAAATTTAAACATGTTGATCTACATTTTCAGCCTGTAAGATCACCTTTGGCACCAAGTGTCCTCATCACAGGGATTGTTCCATCATAATCGTCAATATTTAAAAGTGCACTGCATCCTTTGCGTCTGACTTTTCGAACAGCAAGTGGAAGAAGTTGCAAGATCATCAAGAAAGGAGACGAAATTCGGCAAGACCGGTTGGTAGATGCCAAACATTTGCTTTCCCATTTATAAAATATTTAGGAGACCTGTAAGCTTATTTATACTGATGTGATACACTAATACACTGATATGTAGTTCATGTAGGTTGTTAAAATGGTATCACTTGTGGATTTAGGAATCTTGATCTACACTCAACTGGACACGATGAAGGCGTGCTGGAATTCATACCATCCAGTTCTTTAGGACAGGTACTATATCATATGAATGTTACTCTTTGCAATAGTTATATTGATAAGTGTAACTGTTACACTGACAGTTAACTGATTGACCTATTGGATAGCTAACTCAATTAGCATGTAGTTGCTCCCTGTTTCTTTTAGCACTCTCAATCTTGTGACTTGTGGCATATTGCTATTGGGTTAATAAATTTTGTTGCTTTTCGTATCCAGATTTTTGCATAGCACTGTAGTATTATAAGTTTTCTGCAGAAGTTCCACCCTGACGAAGATGGACCATTTGGGATTACAGCCACCTCTCTTGAAACATTCATAAAAATCTGTGCTGGCTACTTAGTCATCACATATATATTGGGAATTGGGGACTTCATTTATTTGGGAAATGGAAAGTGATGCCTTGGCTGCTTCAATATATGTTATTGTCTAATTTTATTCTTATGCATGTATGTAAGATTGCCCCAGTTCATGAATGTAAAGATGAATATTGCTGCACGTTAGAACTACTATGAAGTTGTATATTTTTACTTTCGTCTAATCGTGTAATGTTTGGAGCTTAATATCTTTATCTGCAAATTTGTGAAGCTTCTGATGACAATAAAACATACATTTCTAAATAATTTAGCCTGGATTTTGAACCCCAACCAAAACAATTCCGAAAAAGAAACCTCCCTTCCACCCTAGAAAAGGGTATATTATCAATTCCTTTAACTGTGTTCTATCTTGCATCTCTAGTATTTTCACAAGTAGGCTATCAGTTCGAATTCATTAGACTGGAAGTAACATTTTTTGGATACGCGTTCAATCCAATTTAAGGATGATCCTCTTTTATTGCTTGTCTGCTCCACACAACATGCATGTCAGTTCCTCGTATATGATCTCAGTGCAATATCTTATGTCCATTCTTCACTTGTTAAATCGAAGTTTGATTCTTGAGTCAGAAGTCTTCCTGGTCTCTAGGCACCTTGATAATTTTCTCCTTAGGAATGATGGCCGCCTCTTTCATGTTGATTTCGGTTTTATTTTGGGTCGAGACCCAAAGCCATTTCCACCACCAATGAAGCTTTGCAAAGAAGTGGTTGAGGCTATGAGTGGAGCAGAAAGGTATTCTTACCTTTCTAAAGTAATTAATTATAATCCTTGGTGCTTTAGGTGTGTCATGTTAGTTAGACAAGGTCCAATCAGATTTTTGACATAATTTGACTCAGAAAGCATGTTGTGTTACACTTTTGCCTCCTGCAGCCAATACTATACCAGGTTCAAATCTTACTGTTGTGAAGCTTTACATCCTCCTGTGAAATTTAGTAATCTAAAATTGAATCTGTTTCAGCACATGGCGGGTTCCAATATTCCTGCTTCTTATCCCGTGAAAGGAATTCTTAAGGTGGCTTCCTCTCAATACTTGTATGTCAAGGATATGATTGTTCGTCTTGTTTTGACCAAGTTTCTGTTGATACTTACAGCTTCAAGAAAAGTTCCGGTTACTTGGACGATGAGGAGGGCATACATTTTTTCGAAGATCTTATCAATGAGAGTGTCAGCGCTTTCTTCCCTCAAATGGTGGAGACCATTCATCGCTGATCCAGAAAATGACTAGTATTTATGCCTCTGTAATTTGATTTATAATTTCTAAGTTCATTTCTGGGAGTGTCTTTCTGCAAAATTAGTTGTTCGAAAGTCAACCTCGGCATGTTTTATGCTGGATTTTTGAATTAAATTACAGTTGGGTGCATAAATTTTTCTGAAATCACTGGTTTTGGGCTGAGTGGAAGCTGGTCCCTACGCAGTAGTGTGCGCCTGTGCTTTCACATTGATTCTTTGTAATATTCTTGTGGTCGATGTGCCCAATTTAATGGTAGTGGTAATGATTGTTAAAAGTGGGTCAAATGATTGAAACTAGTACAAGACCTGCAAAGTACTTTTAGTGGCGTCTTTGAAAATCACTCTTTTTTCTTTTGTTCGGATTGATCAGTCAAGAAGCCCTTCCGCTTACGATTCAGAGAATGAATACTAGAATTAAAATTATATTTAATAATTCATTGATAGTGTTACATCTAATTTATAAAATAAGATTTAGTTAAGATAAGTAACTAATTACCTATCAATTAGTTTTAAATAAAGGAGTGAATAATTTAATTTTACAGCTGTATTATAAGAGATAAAATCTCAACACTCCCCCTCAAGTTGGTACATAGATGTCACACATGCCCAACTTGTCTAAAAATTTTATAAATACTTGATTTGAGACTATTTTAGTAAGAATGTCGGCTAGTTGATCATTAGATCAAATCTTAGGTAACTTCACAATTTTCTCATCTAACTTCTCCTTAATGAAGAATCTGTCTATTTTAACATGTTTCATACGATCATGTTAAATTGAATTATGGACAATATCACATGCTGTTTTATTGTCACAATATAGTCGAATAGGTTGCCCAGGTAGATTACCCAAATCCCGCAAGAGAAGTCTTAACCACAATGTTTCACAAAGTGCAAGCGTCATACCTCTGAATTCAGTTTCTGCACTTGAGCAAGCAATAACATTTCATTTCTTGCTTCTCTATGTAACAGGATTATCTCATACAAAAGTAAAATAACCAGAAGTAGATCTCTTATTATCTATAGCTCCAACACAGTTAGCATCAGTATATGCAGCTATGTTTTGATAACCAGCATTTTTAGTGATCGAACAAAATTCCTTTTCCAAGAGCAGATTTCAAATACCTCAAAAATGCGCATAACTGCATTCATATGTTGCTCTCCGGGATCATGCATAAACTGGCTAACAATGCTCAATGCATAAGCCAGATCCGGTCTCGTGTGTGCTAAGTACATCAATCTCCCTACAAGTCTTTTGTATCTTCCTTTATTAACGGGTACTTGGTTGGACTCAACACATAACTTCAGTCCTTCTTCCATTGGTGTCTCAGCTGGTTGATATGCTGTTATGCCAGTCTCTTGTAATAGATTTAAGGCATATTTTCTTTGAGATAGAAAGATTCATTTATTAGATCGAGATACGTCGATCCCAAGAAAATATCTCAAAGGACCTAGATCTTTCATTTCAAATTTTCTGGACAAGTACTTTTTGAGAGGCTTCATTTCTTCAGGATCATTCCCTATAACCACCATGTCATCTACATATACAATGAGTGCAGTGATCTTACCCTATTAACGTGTGGTGTGAATTGCTCTGACGGAAGCCAAAGACTATCATAAACTTTGTAAATCTTCCAAACCAAGCTCTTAGAGATTGTTTCAACTCATATAATGATTTCTTTAACCTGCAGACCTTCCAACTATACTTTTCGGGTATCATGCATCTTAGTGGGAGATCTATGTAGACTTCTTCAGATAATTCACCATTCAGAAATGCATTCTTCACATCAAATTGTTGCAATGGCCAATCCAAGTACGCAGCTAAAGACAACAAAACACGAACTGCATTTATTTTGGCTACAGGTGCGAACGTCTCTATGTAATCGATTCCATAGGTTTGGGTGTAACCTTTTGCCACCAATCTTGTTTTAAAGCGTTCAACTGTGCCATTTGCTTTATACTTCACAGTGTAAATCCATCGATATCCAACTGGTTTCTTTCTTAGTAGAGGATCAATGAGTTCCCAAGTTTTATTTTTCTGCAAGGATTTCATCTTTTCGTTCATAGCTGCTTTTTACCTAGGGTCAGCTAAGGCTTCCTGCACACTGTTAGGAATAGATACAGTAGATAATTGATTTACAAATGACAAATTTGATTCTGACAAACGATGGTTCGACACATAATTACTCATGGGATACTTAACTTTACTAGAAAGTTCGGGTTCATATGTGGGTTTAGGAATACCTCTAGTATGACACGGTGGTAATTGTTTTCTGAGTGGCTCAGGCACTAAATTAAGAACATCCTCAGCAGGCGATTGGTTTGATATATTAGTTGTGAGGGACTCGAACTCGGACGACGATGGGGTTGGCGCCATACTTTCCATTTCTGGGCGTTCATCACCACTTTGATCCAAACTTATACCACTCGAATCCAATTCGCCTGATTCTTGATTGTTTGGTCCAACTTGTGAGTCATTAACACTAGAATCGTCGTCCTCAAAAGTGTGATAATCATAATCTAAAGTCTGAAATTTGTTCTGATACTCCTCCTGAAGTTCAGACGCAGAGGGAAAATACATCGATTCTTCATGGAAAACAACATCCATTGTGATAAACATTCATCGAGTGGGAAAGTGATAACAACGATACCCCTTTTGATGAGTAGCATATTCGAGAAAAACACATCGCAATGCTCGAGGAGTTAGCTTTTTGCATTGATGCTTATGGAGGTGTACAAATGCTACATAACCAAAGACATGAGGAGGTAGATTTGGGACAGTTGGGGCAACAACTGCGTCAGTGAGAGCATGCAATGGTGTCCAGAAGGCAATAGAGCTGGAAGGTACTCGGTTGATTAGATATGCTGTAGAGGTCAGTACTTCTTCCTAATACAATAATAAAGTATATGCGCTTCTATCAATGAAGCACGAATAACCTCCAACAAGTGTCGATTTTTGCGCTCTGCAACCCCGTTTTGCTGGGGTGTATTGGAACAAGTGGTTTGATGAATAGTTCCATGTGCTCCCAAATACTGGTGAAGGTCAAAACTCTGATATTCTCCACCATTCTCACTACGGAGAACCTGAACATGTGCATTGTATTGAGTTTCAACCATTTTATGAAACTTCTGAAACAATAAGTTCACTTCACCTTTGGACTTCATCAAGCACAACCAGGTCATCTTGGTACAGTCATCAATAAAAGTAACAAACCAACGGGATCCACCTAAAGTAGTGACTTTGGACGGACCCCAAACATCAGAATGTATAATCAAAAAAGGAAGTGGATTTTTATGCAAACATAATGGATACGAAACACGATGGCTCTTTGCTAGTTCACAAATATCACAACAAAAACTAGAAACATCAAATTTTGCAAACAAACTAGGAAATAATATTTTCAGATAACCAAATGAAGCATGCCCCAGACGTCGATGCCACAGCTAGATTTCAGATTTTTTTCTCTCCCCTTCAAAACCATCCACTATCAATGCTTGTCATAACTTATCGAAACTGTTGGACATCAAGTCCAAGTAATACAGTTTCCCTTGCCTAATACCACAACCAATCGTCTGCTTTGTTTGGATGTCCTTAAACACACAAAAATCAGGCCAAAAAATAGCAACACAAGATAAAGCTGTGGTTATTTGGGAAATTGACAAAAGATTAGAATCTAAAGATGGAACAACTAAAATAGAATCTAAATGCAGATTATCAGTGAGTGTCAAAGATCCTTTCCCAATAATTGGGGTTGAAGTCCCATTGGCTGTGGAAACAAATAGATGATGGTGAATGTATGTGTATATGTATGGTGTATGGGTCTGTGAATGAATGTATGTGTATGGGTCAATGAATTTCAAAGATAAATTCAAAGAAATTCAAAAAATACGGTTCAAGTTTGGCTCTGATAACATCTTGTAATTCAGAGAACGAATACGAGAATTAAAATTATATTATATAATTCATTGATGGTGTTACATCCAATTTATAGAATATGATTTAGCTAAAATAGGTAACTAATTACCTACCAATTAGCCCTAAATTAAGGAGTAAATAATTCAATCCTACAGCTGTACTATAAGAGATAAAATCTCAAGACTTCCAAGGACCGAAAGACAGCTTTTGAAGAGGTAATATACATAATTCACGTCTTTTAGGTCTTCCAATATTGAATTGGTTTAGAATATGCTCTTTCAACCGTTGTTTTATCTGCACATATTAGTTTCAATTAGTTGTAAAGATTTGAGATATTGGAAGATGAGAGTTTCGGTGGGGCTAAGGTTCTCAGAATATTAAAGGTATCCTGCACATGAAACATCAATTTGATGGTTTTGGGTAGTTTTCATGAGCATCCTTGACAAGTTTGTGTGACCTAGGGGTTCCCAAAAGGTCCTAGAAGCACCAAGTGCAATATATCTTTCAGCCTTGATGGTGTTGGGTATTTTTTATGGGCATCACTGGCCATAATGTGGGATGGTAATTGGCTGGAAGGAAAATAAAAAGGAAACACAAACACACACACACACACACACACACACACACACACTAGTTTCACTTGTGTTGAAAAAAGGGACTTATTCATGATGTGATGATGCTGCTCACAGCTCAGTGGTTAAGGTTGAAAAATGTTGTCACAGACATGAGGCTATGAGTGGTCATTAGGAGGGGGATCTTTATATATAGGTTTTGTGTGCAGCTATTAGGAGGGGGACCTTTATATATAGGTTTTGTGTGCAGCTATGAGTGGTCATAGGAAAGGGACAACGACGAGAATTTAATATAATTTGTAATTTTTCTGAAAAGATAAAAGTGATGTATATTGAAATAAAGTAATATTATATATGATATATTGTATAACGTTTAAGTGTATACTGCATTGAGTATTCGTACATGTGGTAAAAGAAAGTGTAGCTCAATGACTTTGTTACTTAACTCTCTGACTAGGCGCTGAGATGGATCTGAGTTGGCGCTGACAAGTGTCAAGGGAGCTGAGGGATGCCCATAATGTGGGATGATAATTGACTGGAAGGAGAATTAAAAGGAAACAACACACATGGGGTTTCTAGTTTCACTTGTGTTGGAAATAGGGACTTGTTCATGATGCTACTCACAGCTCAGTGGTTAAGGTTGAAACATGTTGTCACAGACATGAGGCTATGAGTGGTCATAGGAGGGGGGCCTTTATATATAGGTTTTGTGTGCAGCTATGAGTGGTCATAGGAGGGGGACAACAACGCGAATAATAAAGCGAAAAGGTCGATGGAAGTCTTATTCATACCTAACAATTTGAATTTTTGTTATGTTTCAACCTTAACCACAGAGCTATGAGTGGTCATAGGAGGGGAACAAGAATGAGAATAATAAGGAGGAAAGGTCGATGGAAGTCTTATTCATACCTAACGATTTGAATTTTTGATGCAGCTTAAATGAGCTGTTCCTGTTTGTTTCTTCGGCAATGGCTACTATAGTTATTTCTTAAAAAGTTTCTTTTAGATTGACCCTGAGCTATATAAATTGGGTTGGGTGTTATTTACCCTTTTTTCCAGTTTTATTTTATTTATTTTTTTCAATTTATATGTCAAAATTGAATCACTGACTTCAGTCTAATACTTACACCCCTTTTGAAAGAAAAAAGATAAAAAAAAAAAAAAAAAAAACTCCTGAGGCTGTGGCAACTCTCAAAGGAGTGTGACAACTTTTTAACAAGTAGTAATACAAAACATTCATTTTTTACGATGCAATTTAATTTTATTAAGATGATTTTATCATGAAAAAAAATTATACAAAGAGTCTCAACAACTACTTTGGACTCCATTAAATTCACTCTCTAATAATACAATTTGATTTTATTAAAATTTTATAAGTATGCATCATCAGTAACATTTTATCAAATCTCAATGTAATTACATGAAAACTAAAGAGAGAATGAGAGAAAGAAAAAAAAATAAAAAAAAATAAAAGAGAAATATTGGACATTTGGGATGAAGATAAAAAATGATAGTAAAAAAATGAAAGAGAGAGAAATTTAATACTTATCACTCTAAATATTGTGACATGACACATCACATTGACAGTCACATAAATTAGATTAGAAAAATTAGTTTATTTCTTCGGTACAAGTATTATTTTTTAAAAAATAATTCTCAAAATTTTAAATTACAAGTGAAAAGAAATATTCAAAGATTGGGATATAAGTTCTCTCGGCACCCTCACTTTCCAAACAATGGAATCTTGGCGCATTTAATACATAGATTTGCTTTAAATACTTCACTAGAAGTACGTTGAAAATTGGACTATACACCAAAAATTTGGTGGGGAGGCATGTTGAATTTACGCTTAGAACCAAAATATATATTAATTTTTTTATTTATTCAAAATAAAGATAATTTCATTCCAATAATTGGAGGACACAAGGGAATGACAAGACCATTCATTGTAAAAGGCTTGGTTGATATCCATCATATAATTCATGTTTGTGGTCTCATGATGTACGAGTTTGTAGACAAATATATAATGTTAACTTGCCATGAACAAAATTAGCATATGTGGCTTAGGGCTCCTTGGTGTGACAAGCAAAAATCGGCGCCTCTCGGAGTATAGCTAGTGTGATCATATGACCAATATAATTTAATCATTTGGTAGTTGATGTATTATTCAAATAATGGGACAATTCAACTACTAGTTGGACCCTACCATTAAAGCATTTGAGTACACATTCTTATCAAATTAATTGTGTTTTGACTATTCAAAAAAAGAATTTTTTTTTTACGTGGCAATGACCAGTTAGTTAGTTGGGAGAGGAGGAGGAATTCAAGCTGACCTTTTGACCACACCGCAACACTTAATAAATAGTGTCATTTGAATTCGGGTGAAAATTACGTCCAATAAAATAATGTCATTTTTTATATTTTGGAATGAGTAGGCAAAAAATAATTACGTCAATTATATTTAGAATATATAATAAAAAAATATTAAAATAGACCTTATGAAAATATCATAATACACTTTTATTAATAAAATTGGATGAAATGATTTACTTTGCAAGTGGAGAGGAGGAGCTTGTCCCCACTAAATACTACTCTGGTGTAACACTTCATGCACTAAACTACTATTCTGAGGTAACGTAAGTTTGATTTGACAATGTAACGTGATTGATCGTGTACTAAGGAAGCATATTAGGTCCTTGTGCATGTGAGCCACATTAATAACATAATAATAATAATAATAATAATAAATAGACAAAAGAGCAAAATATCCATTACACCTATGTTGCATGATGGGTTTCTAGATTATATTTTGAAACACGTTTTCTTCAATTATCAAAAGCAAGCAAAATATTTTTTTAAAGGTTACCAAGACTAATTTCCCACCAATAAAAGAGTACAATTACTAATTTATCATTACTTATTAATTTATTATAATAATTCAAAATATCTGCTATCTTGAAATGACCACTTTACCCCTATTTTATTTTCCCTTTCATTTTTTTTCTCTGCATTTTTTTCCATCTCTCTGCTCTCTCTTTCCATTTGACAGCCCATTAAGCTCAGGTGAGGTATCAAACCCAAAATTGTTAGGTGATAATTTTTGGGTCCTGCCTGAACCATTAGAAGCGAATAGAGAACCCAAAGTGCGTGGTTGGAATTCGAAGAAGCCAGAACTTGTATCATCATCATCGGCATAAGCTGCTACATCATGATCAGCAATGTCTGAGGGTTCATCGCTATCATCAGAATCATCGCATATGAGTGAAATCTTATAAGGCAGTACAAATGTAAATGTAGATCCAAACTGCTCTTGGCTGGAAACAGTAAGATGACCCCCGGCCCATGAGCTCAACCAGTTGCTTGCAGATTGCTTACATCTTTTACTTTCCATTTACTTACCAAAAAAACAAAAAAACAAAATAAATGAATAAATTAAAGGCGCTGTAACACTCGACCTTTGATGCTATGTTCACGTGGGCATGTTTCACCTCCTTTTCATATTTAGCCTCACCTAAGATGGAAAGAGAGACTAGAGAGAAAAAAAAGTAGAGAAAAAAAAAATAAAAGGGGAAAGAAGATAAGGGTAAAGTGGTCATTTCATGATAGCATATTTGACTTATTATAATAAATTAATAAGTAAGGGTAAATTAGTAATTGTGCATTTCTGTTAGTCGGAAATTAGCATCCGGTGACCTTTAAGTGGATATTTTGCTTACTTTTGATAGTTAAAAAGGACAACAAGCTTCAAAAAATAATTTAGGGGTGCATTGTGCAATATAAGTATAGTATAAGGAGATATTTTGCTCTTTTGCCTAATAAATAATGTGGTGAAATTATTCTTTGACCTGGGCTAACTAATTAATCATCATCAGTTGAGACGAATTTAAAATATTTATTTACGAGTTAGTTAGTGATTGACTGTGAATAAATTATTCTAAATTATTTAATAATTTTTTTGGGGCATCAAAAAATTATGTGTAGTTTTCCCAATATATTTTTGGGTTTCTATTAAAATCTCGGTCTTCTGCCGTTTACACGAGCAAGAATTTGATTATGAAAATTTTGGATTATGGATAATCTTAATTAGAGCACGTAGTTGATTTTGTTTTTATCTTTTCATTCAAAAAAAATTTTCACGAAAAGATTGGTCCCAGCTCAACATTTTTCGTTAAATAATTGAATCATATCTTATCGTTTAGCTTTATATATCTTTGACAGAGGACATCTCTAATACAAAATGTTATTTTTTTTTCTTACCAAAGTTATATTTCGAGAAGAGTTACAGTGTCAAAATGCTATATTTTAATAATTCTACTCCGATAAGACAATCTCCAATGCAAAATGCCATTTTTGCATACCAAATCTATATTTTGAGAAGAGTTACAGTGTCAAAATTCTATATTTTAGCAATTCTTCTCTAATGGTGCATTTCATCCAAAATACTATTTTTTTACACAACTACCATTATTTTTGGACATAACTATCATTATTTTTCAACTACCGTTCCCAACTAACATTTTTTTTTTTTTTTTTTTTTTGAGTGTTTGTATTTTATTTAGCTTATTTGCTTTATTAAAAATAAATAAATAATAATAATCATCAAATCCAAAGTCTTGAAATTTAGACAACTTTTGGATTAACAAACATATATATATATAAATAAATAAATATATATATATATATATACACACACACACACACACACATATAAGCACAACACCAAACTACAAAATCTACACGAATCAAAAGTTTAAAACTCGTATATTTCAATTTGGCAGAAGCAATAGTAATAGCTATAGTTTGTACTATATTTGACACAAGATTTGACAAAGCTATATTTTGGCAGCCCAATTAACAGTTCATGGAGAGCCTATGTTAAACTCACCTGCTATATTTTAAAAATGAAAGCCCATTTGACAGCCCATTGGAGTTGCTGTAATGCATTTCATTCAAAATGCTATCATCCACTTGCTTGAGAAACGACACCATATGAGAAAAAAAGAGACCTCTTAAAATTTTTGACAATCTCAAAATATGAGAGATCTTTGAGAGCCTATTGAAATGTATTATTTTTATCCACTTACTATACTTTGACTTTGAGAGGCCATTTGAGAGGGCATGGGAGATGCTGACCAATTTTTGAATAATTCTTGACTGTCTTACCCTTGACTAGATCAAAACAACCAATTTTATTTTTTATTTTATTTTTATTTATTTTAGGGTTTGAAACACCACCTTCTCACACCACATAAATTTTGTGAATAAAAAGGAAATTTTAAATATAAGAGAGTAAATCTACCTCAATGCATCTAAGGTTGCCTTACAAGAACTTGAATCTCTTTGCCATTTCAAAGTGCTGTAGCACAAGCCGCATAACACAAGTCAGGCCAGTGTACTGTGCACCGAAATGACATTGTTTCTATTCACACGGTTCAATAATTGTGTACCGTATCTTTCATTTCATTGTACGTTAAATCCCTTAAATTTTCTAGAAAGAGGTACACCAAGACTGGAGTAGAGAAGTTGTGAGAACTAGAAAATTATAGTAACCAGTCAATAATTCTCTATTGCGGCCACGCTTCTCTCACCACACATCTGTCGTCGCTTCATTAATTGAAAACAATCCTGTCCACTCTCTCTCACAATGACACATATGAATCCATAAATATTGTTGTTGTGTATATATATACAGACACGAGTCCTCTCTTTTTATCCACCCATCTGCTTTCTTTTTAATTCCCTGCATAACCCTTTTGTGTTGCTGAGATCACCAACAACAGAACACAAAGTGAAGATACATATACTTATATGGCTATATATAGTCAATAGTCACATATACACTTTATATATATATATAGTCAATAGTCACACACATATACTTTAATAATTTATTACATATACATACTTATAATGAAACCTGAGAGCCACCCATGTAAACTTGGTCGAAATGTCGTGGAGAGAAAGCGAAGATTGCACATGAAAAATCTCTTTTGCAGGCTTGCCACTCTCTTAATTACCTCACACTGCAAGGTATGTACCCCTCTCTCTCACTCTAACTCTTGCTATACACACACACTATATATATATATATATATATATATATATATATATATATATGTGTATATGTATGTATAAGGACTAGTCTCTAGTGCATGAATTTCTGCCATTCTAGGACCTCAAGAGGGTCAGATGTATATGCTAGTCTTACCCCTGGTGCAGAAAAGCTCTTTTCCGTTTCGAACCGGTATTTATATACATAATTGAAGTACTAAATGGAATTGATGCATGGTTTTTAGGGAAGATTGCCATCGCCACAAGATTTGTTGGATCGAGCGACTACTTATGTGAAGCAACTGCAAGAAAAAGTGGAAAAACTGAAGCAAAGAATGGAGCAAATCAAAGGTGGTGAGAATAGTGGAGAGTCTAATATGGGAAGCAACATTTTACCAGAACTTTCTGTAAGAGAAGTAGGTTCAACTTTGGAGGTGAATTTGATTACTGGAAGGGATAAAAGTTTCATGTTACATGAAGTTGTCAGTGTTCTTGGCCAAGAAGGTGCTGAAGTTGTTAGTGCAAGCTATTCTACTGTGGATGATAAGGTCTTCTATACCATTGTTTCTCAGGTATATATATATATATATATATATATATAGATGTTTGCCTTTGATTTACACTTTTATGAGAATGTTATGTGCATGAACTGAATAAGGGGTTGGTGAGTTTTGGCTATGATCAGGGGTGGAGCCAGGATCGTGTGATTGGGGGGGCCAAAGTGATGGACTGAGTGAGAGAGAACTGAGAAGAGAAGAGAGAATATGATGGACTGAGTGAGATACGCATTTTGCAGCTGAAAAAAAAAAAAAAAAAAAAAAGAAAACCCCAAAATGGACCCATATTTCAAGGAAAATAAGAGGTGGGGTGGAGGTACACCAAGAAAAAAAAAAAAAAAAAAAAAACAAAAACAGAAAAGAAGAAGAAGAAGAAGAAGAAGAAGAAAGTCAAAGCATTATAAAATAATATATAATATAAATAAACAAACAAACATCGTTGAGGCCAGGAGACGAGATTCAAAAAAACGAAAAACATAGATTTTTTATTTTGAAATATGTTAAAAGAAGTAAAGATGATATAAGAAATTATATATATATATATATATATATAAAATAAACTAAAAAATTTCTTGCCGGGGGCAGAGTTACTCATTACCTTACACAAGTTGTACTAAATTGTTTTTCAACCTATACTAATAAAAGAAACTAAATTTCTTGCAAGGGCCAGGCCCCTCCAAGCCTACCCCTGGCTATGATAAATTCTCATTACAGTCGAACAATCCTGTCTAGCGGGTGGCAGATTTGGGCACCTCCGACCATATGCTTAGTGTTTTATATATAGGATTAAGGACTTGGTCAATCTTATACTGTAACAAGTCGAACGCTTGCCCTCTAACCCAAATGTTTAAATTATTAGATAGTATTACCTAGTCGCTTATTTGTACACATTTCATTTCTCATTCTCATTGGGATTGGATGTTTGGACACCTCGAGGGTCATATCAAAATTAATTCATCTAAAGTATAGATCATATGCCACCATTTATTATACCTTTGTCCTTTGAAAAAACTACTTGAGTTGTCACTTTCGATTCTTGCTTGATCTTATTTCAAGCTATTGTACTTTTTGCTATATGAGGTGGAACCATTTTGGTGCATGTATCATTTTCAAACTCAAAATTTGAAAATTTTAAGCTCATGGCAGAAACTTCCACATCCTGATAGACTGTGTTAATTAACTTGATATTGTTAATTCTTAGTGCACAATCTCTTATATATGTAGTCATGAAATTATGCTCTGTATATAAAAAATGGTGACATATATATATATATATATATGTATAGTAGCATCAATTAATATATTTCTTGAAGCTTAAACCTAATCATAAACTGCAAGTCATCATCACGGCTCCATATTTGTTTAAATGACTTTTTTCTTATTTTGGTTCATTCAATCATCTGTGATATAAACTAACATCATATATTATACTGATCTATTGTAGGCTATCTGGTCTAGAATTGGCATAGAGACTTCAAGAGTGCATGAAAGATTGAAGAATCTGATTTTCTGAATTATACAATCTTTGTTTTTCTGTGCAATAGTCGTCGGCAGGCGTCCAGTTGATGAAGCTCAATTGGGGAATTTTGTATCTTGGTTTGTAACTTGACTATTAGGAATTAATCTACAAAATGAGGGTGTAAAATGAGAGGGTTTGTTATATATATATATATATGCACCATAATCTTGTATGTTTGAGTCCCAAAGCCTTTGGTCTAGTGGCTTTCAAAGTGAAGTGTAGAGGGATCGAGTCTCCATGAACGTTTCTGAAGAGTTTTTTTCTAGCTAAAAAAAAAGAGAAAAAATGTTGACTATACAGAACAAAAAATAACCCCAAACAAAATCAGAGGCTAATTAAGCATTTGAAGTAAAATAATATCAAGAAACACCAAAAAAAATAAACCATCCAACTGAAAGGGGTAGCGAACAGTAACAGCCGAGAAGAAAGGTCAATTTAGAGCAACTGCAGCGGGCTCTTCAAAGGCCATTTTCCGCGAGCAAAAGGGCCTTTGGGCGTGCAGCGGCCTAGCCAAAAATGGTAGGACCCAATTTTACTCGTGAGTCAGCTCGCATGAATTTTTTTTTTTTTTTTTTGGGTTGCAAAACGGTGCCCTTTTTGGTTGCCTGTTTTTATTTTATTCCACTACTCTTGGAAAGGTATTGTTTGGCAGATTTTATTTTTTTATTTTTTTATTATTTTTTTTAAAACCTAAAAATAGGTTATTTTGAGCTCTTTTTCTATAAAATAAAATAAAATAAAATTCATTAAATAAAAAATATATTGTTTAGGCACTGTTTGTCTAATTTTTTTTTTTTTATTTTGGCCAAAAATAAATTCAAAAAGCTTATTATTATTATTATTTTTTTTGTTTTTTTCCCTTAAAATTTGTTTTTATTTTTATTGTTTTGATTTAAATTTTAAATGTGTACCACAAACAATGCATTTAACCGTTAAAGCATTGGTTGGCCGACACAAATTGTGCCTTAACGACTATAATTTTTTTAAAAATATATATAATTTTTTTTTTTTTAAACTTTTTGTAAAAAAAATAATTAAAATTACAAATTCATCTACTTATTCCCATAGGATTTTGTAATCCTTATTTTCTTATTCCAATTCATTATTTTTAATCTTAAAAAATCATTTCATAATAAAAATTCTAGTACACGAAATGTCATAACATCTTAAAAGCAAACAAAATGTAACATAAATTAAACATCTTCATCACCATAGTAGTTCCACAAGTTTTCCATCAAATCATTCCTCAACCGCGTATTTGTCTTTCTGTTGCAAATCTGAAGTTGGCGAGAGAATATGTGTGTCGCTAAAACTGGTGGGCATCGACTTAAAGTGGGAATCGGGATTGCATCCTCTGGTGGCGGAGTCCATCTTCCAATATTTGCGTGACACTCATCTTTAATGATCATATTGTAAAAGATGATGCACGTTTTCATTATGAGGCGTAAGTCATCTTTTTCCCAGTAACGCACTGGTCCTTGCGTTATTGCCCACTTGCTCTGCAATACCCTAAAAGCCCATTCCACATCTTTCCTGCATGCCTCTTGTCTCTGAGCAAACAATTTTTCTTTTCTAGTGGTTGGGTGTGGGATGGTCTGCATCAAAGTTGCCCACTTAAGGTATATACCATCAGACAGATAATACCCCATTCTATAGTGATGTCCATTCACTACATAATTAACTGGAGGTAATTATCCATTGACGATATCGTTGAATACCGGGGAATGATCCAACATATCATTGTGTAAACTTGACATTCCAAAGAATGTATGTCAGATCCACAAATCTTGTGAGGCAATTGCTTCCAATATGAGATTATTTTTCCCATATCGTCCCCTATGTGTGCCGTGCCACTCCACTGGGCGATGTGAGAGTATTCTTCCCATATCGTCCCTTATGGAAAGATTTATTCTTAGAAGATTTATGAATAGAGAAAAGTAGGTGATCTTAAAAAAGGAGCGAAAATAAAAAATTTTGAATCTTGTCTCTAGAATACTTTGGATATGTGTATATCAAGAGTGGGGATGTATAAGAAGAATTGGTAAAAAAACTAGACACAGAGAGGAGAGAGAAATGAAGAGGAAGAGAGAGAAAAAGGAAAAATTGAAAGAGAAAAGATTGATGATAAGGAGTTAGATAATAAAATTATTTGACGTGAATAAATAAAATTCGGTATTTATTTCGTTAAAAACCTTTAATTTTTGTATCACTGCTACTACTGAATTAAGATAGATTTTAATGTACATGAAAAGTCAAACAGATCTTTTAATAAAACTATCAACCCAACTATGAGTCATGAGGTTTTGTTAAACATATCTATTTGTCGCATTACACGTGCTAATGAGCAGTGCAGGTGTATATGTAGTCACCTTGTACTTCATTTATATTTTGTTCTTTTTTCTTTCTTCTCTCTACCGTATCGAAATAGCAATGATATATTTGTTGTCCAAAAATACATGGTATAACGATATACCATAGACTATAATATTTTTATTTAAATATTATGTAAAAATATAATATGTATATATATATATATATATTATATTTTTACATAATATTTAAATAAAAATATTATATATAATTTTATACAATAAAATAAAACAATACAAAAATAAAAAAACTTGATTATAAATTGATGCTAGAATTTAATTCTACGTCTTTAAGATAGATTCACCCCGCTATGGTTCTAACTGATTCAATGGCATTTATCTCCCATAATAGAACGACTTGTCTTTCTTCGGTAGTAGCACTGCAGACCGAAGAAATAAAATCAGATTATAGAAGAAGAGAGAAGGAGGAAGAGAATTCAATTCAATTCATCAGAATTAGACTAGAGAGTTCTGAATGGAGTGATTTGCAAATGATCCAAAGGGGGATATTTATAGGCAATAAGGTATCTTTTCGGCTGTGTGCAACCCTTTGGAAAAAACGAAAAAGTAGTTTTTAAGTAAGGTGCCTTTTCGGGTAAGTGCAACCCTTTGGAAAAAACTAAAAAGTAGTTTTTTTAATTTAAATTCAACCCAACCAATTTAAATAAGTCCAGCCCAAAAATTAAATTAAATCTAAACATAGGCCCAAATTCCGTTTAATAAAAAGTTAACCGGACTTCACAATCAAGCCCAAGCCCAAGCCCAAGCCCAAGCCCGGACCTGGCGAACGGGGCACGTGCGTGTGTGGTAAACGGTTTAGACCCAAGCTTGCCTAGGTCGTCCCCCTCTTAAAAACTTAGGGCCCAAACCTAAGTCCCAAACTTGACTTATTTAAACTTCGATTGGTTTTAACATTTTTTTCATTTTGCATACTCATTTATGTTTATCAACCACCTCACTTTAGAGCTAATTTTTCATTTATCCGAAATGAATTTGAGAGAATAAATATATCCGAAATGAATTTGAGAAAATAAATATACTAAGTTTATCTCTTTGCGAAAAGTAACGCGTTTGTTTATAGATGCGTAAAAATTAAAGTTTATCTCTTTGCGAAAAGTAACACGTTTGTTTATAGATGCGTAAAAATTAAAGGAAACAAGGGAATGACAAGACCATTCATTGTAAAAGGCTTGATTGATATCTATCATATACTTCATGTTAGTGGTCTCATATGTATGAGTTTGTTATGATCTTAACTGGCCAAGTTGCCGTGAACAAAATTAGTACATGTGCCCTTTTGATCAAAGGGCTCCTTGGTGTGACAAGCAAAAATCGGCGCCTCCCGGAGTATTGTTAGTGTGATCATACGACCAAAATAATTTAATCATGCGGTAGTTGACGTACTAATCAAATAGTGTGACAATTCAACTACTAGTGGGACCCTTACCGTGAAAGCATCTAAGGACACATTCTTATCAAATTAATTATGTGTTTTTGAATATTGAAAAAGCGAAATTATTATTATTATTATTATTATTTATAGTCAGGCAATGACTAGTAATTAATTGGGGAGGGGGAAATTAAACCTGAAATTTTTACCACTTGGACAATAACAAAACAAAAATAATTGTGAAATTCTCTTCCCTCCCTCTACTGTATGTACATTGCTCAATATATACAAAATAACAAGAGATAGAAATAAAAAAGTGCCCCTAGCTAATTACAGGCTATAATGGTGGATCGTGATTTGTACATGATTGCATAGAGATAAATAAAGGATTGTGATCTTGATTTGTACGTGAAAAATATAATCTGGACGTTAGGCGAACTAGATTGGTGAAGCTTTATGTGTGATTTTTCTTTTAACCGTCACACCTAAAAAAAATTGGTGTCATTTGAATCCATTCACTTCATGCAATAAATACCAATCTGAAGATAAAATGGACGATAAGATTGAATCCCAGCTCAATCTTTTCTAATAAATAATTGAATCTTATCTTATCGTTTAGTCTTGTATATCTTTAAAAGATTAAAGGGGCTACTTTTTGAATAATTCTTGACTGTCTTACCCTTGACCAGATAAGAACAACCAAATTATTATTATTATTATTATTTGCTTTGAAACACCACCATCTCACACCACATAAATTTTGTGAATAAAAAGGATATTTTAAATATAAGAGAGTAAATGTAACCATGGGTCTACCTCAATGCATCTTAAGGTTGCCTTACAAGAACTTGAAGCTCATCCTCTGCCATTTCAAAATGCAGTGGCACGAGCCGCACAACACAAGTCAGGCAATGTATACGTGTTAAACTGTTAAAGCTTCGCGACTTGTGTACCAAAACGACAGTGTTTCGATTCACACAGTTCAATAATTGTATACCGGTATCTATTTTCATTGTACATTAACCCCTGAAATTTCCTAGAAAAAGGACACCAAGACAATTCTAGGAATCAGTCAATAATTCTCTATTGCGGCCACGCTGTTCTCACCACGCATCTGTCGTTATTTAAAAAGAAATATGAATCAATAATTGTTGTTCTATATATATACAGACACGAGTCCTCTCTTTTTATCCACCCATCTGCTTTCTTTTTAATTCCCTGCATAACCCTTTGGTGTTGCTGAAATCACCAATAAACTAGTGAAGATATATACACTTGTATGGCTATATTTAGTCAATAGTCACATATATACTTTTTATATATAGTCAATAGTCACATATATACTTTTTATATATAGTCAATAGTCACACATATATACTTTAATAATTTAATACATATACATTCATAATGAAACCTGAGAGCCACCCATGTAAACTTGGTCGAAATGTCATGGAGAGAAAGCGAAGATTGCACATGAAAAATCTCTTTTGCAGACTTGCCACTCTCTTAATTACCTCATACTCCAAGGTATATACCCCTCTCTCTCACTCTAACTCTGGCTATACACACACTATATATAATAGATGTATATGCTATTCTTACCCTGATGCAGAAAAACTCTTTTCCGTTTCGAACCGGTATATATATATAATTGAAGTACTAAAGGGAATTGATGGTTTTTAGGAAAGATCGCCATCATCACAAGATTTGTTGGATCGAGCGACTACTTATGTGAAGCAACTGCAAGAAAAAGTGGAAAAACTGAAGCAAAGAAAGGAGCAAATCAAAGGTGGTGAGAATAGTGGAGAGTCTAATATGGGAAGCAACATTTTACCAGAACTTTCAGTAAGAGAAGTAGGTTCAACTTTGGAGGTGAATTTGATTACTGGAAGGGATAAAAGTTTCGTGTTACATGAAGTTGTCAGTGTTCTTGGCCAAGAAGGTGCTGAAGTTGTTAGTGCAAGCTATTCTACTGTGGATGATAAGGTCTTCTACACCATTGTTTCTCAGGTATATATATATATATATATATATATATATAGATGTTTGCATTTGATTTACACTTTATGAGAATGTTATGTGCATGAACTGAATAGCGGTTAGTGAGTTTTGGCTATGATAAGTTCTTATTGCTATCCGGGCAACTCTGCCTACCCACGTGGCAGGCATCTCCGGGCCAGATGCTTGGCAGTTTATGTATAGGATTAATGACCTGGTCGATCATACTCTTCTACCAACTGAAACAAGTCAGGCACTTGCCCTCTAATTCAAAATTTTAAACTATTAGATAATATGATATACCCACTCTTTTGTACACATTTCACTTCTCATTTCAAGTCCGTGTTTGGACACCTCCGACAATGAGGGTCATATCAAAATTAATTAATTCATTTAAAGTATAGATCATATGCCACCAATTACTACTTGAGTTGTCACTTTAGATTCTTGCCTGATCTTATTTCAAGCTATTGTACTTTTTGCTCTATGAACCATTTTGGTGCATGTATCATTTTCAAACACAAACTTGAAAATTTTAAGCTCATGACAGAAACTTCCACATCATGATAGACTCTGTTAATTAACTTGATATTATTCTTAGTGCACAATCTCTTATATATGTATTCATGAAATTAAGCTCTATATATTAAAAATGGTGACATATATATATATATAGTCATCAATATTTCTTGAAGCTTAAACCTAATCATAAACTACAAGTCATCATCATGGCTCCATATTTGTTTAACTAACATTTTTTGTTTCCTTATTTTGGTTCATTCAATCATCTGTGATATAAACTAACATCATATATTTTACTGATCTATTGTAGGCTATCTGGTCTAGAATTGGCATAGAGACTTCAAGAGTGCACGAAAGATTGAAGAATCTGATTTTCTGAATTATGCAATCTTTGTTTTTCTGTGCAAGAGTCACCGGCAGGCGTCCAGTTGATGAAGCTCAATTGGGGAATTCGTATCTTGGCTTGTAACTTGACTATATAGGAATTTACAAAATGAGTGTGTAAAATGAGAGGGTTTGTTATATATATATATATATGCACCATAATCTTGTATGTTTGAGTCCCAAAGCCTTTGGTTTAGTGGCTTTCAAAGTGAAATATAGAGGGTTTGAGTCTCTCATGAACGTTTCTGAGAGCATTTTTCTAGCAAAAAAAGAGAAAAAATGTCGGATGTTTGAGCTCAAAATTGACTATACAGAACAAGAAATAACCCCAAAGGAAAACAGAGGCTAATTAAGCATTTGAAGTAAAATAATATTAAAAACACCAAAAAATGAACTATCCAACTGAAAAGGGTACCGAACTGATTTATTATTTAGATTTCTTATTCATTTTATTTTTATATATATATTTTTTTTATAGGAAGTGTAGTTTTATTAAATTTTTTTGAGCAACTGTTTTCCTTTTGCTATTAGGTTTCTGTTTTAGTTTCTTTACATTTTTAGGATTTTCTTTATGCTGTTAAAGTTTTTATTTATAAATTCACGTACTGCATAACAGATCATTTATTCAATTATTAAATAATGTATCAAAATTTTCTGAATTATCTTTTTGTTTTGTGGATTCAAAACACCCATCTTGAATATTCAAGGTAATCTGTTCAACGTGAATAAATTTATGGCTTCTACTTACATCACGAACAGTAACAGCCGAGAAGAAAAGTCAGTTTAGGATGTGCTCAGGCAGGTTCGAGTCATTGATAATCCAGAACTTTGATCGGACTTAAACCACCAAGTGTCTTATGATCTAGAAGAAAGGTCAGTTGAGGATGTGCTCACGGGTTCGAGGCATTGATGATCTAGAGGCTTGATTGGACTACCCACCAAGCATATGGTCTAAAAGCATCAAATAATTTCGAATTCGAGTTGGTTAATTGGCATCAACTCATTCTCAATTGGTAGGTATTTTCTTGACCAACATTGGTGTAATTTCTTCCAACTAACCTCGAGTTGATTGGCATCAACTCATCCTCAATTCGTCACCATTTTCTTGACTTGCTTCGTGTGTTTACTCCAACCGACCACGCTGGAGTTGATTGGCATCAACTCTTCCTCAACTGGTCAAGACACTTCAATATTTCTTAGTTTGACTTAATTTTCTCTCAAAAGATTAGCTTGGCTACCCGATAATGCAGCAAAGGCTGAAAAAGAAGAAAAAACTACCAAATCCTTTGGCATTGGAAACTTTGCCATTTCCGAACACTAGTGGTGCTACTATATGTACTAAACATATACGGGCGCTGCGAAAGTGGGGTTCACCTATTAAATGCACTTGTAGCTTTCAGAATGAGAATGTAAATGCGAAAGTGTGTAGAGTGAATATGAAAGCCGAAATGTGAGAGGCAGTGATTTCTAAGAGGTGAGAGGTGATTTCTAAGAGGTGAGAGGTGATTTTGCAATGATTTCTAACAGAAGTGGGGGGTGATTTGTGCGCCACTTGGTGAAAATGTTTGTTATGTAGTGTATTGTGTTTTTAGGGATGACAATGTAACGGGTTTGGCCAAACTCTATTTTGTAAATCATTCATATTATATCCGCCCCTATTTCATAACGGGTTATTAATTTATATAGTCTTGGGATCATATTCCCTACAAGCTAAATATTTATTTTTTATTTGATATTTTATTAATAAATATGATATTCATGCATTGGGCTTTACATATATTTGTATGAGATGCATTATAATCCTCAAGTTGCATTATAGGTGACTTAAGTGTGTAAATGATATTTACATATAGGAGATTTAGGCTCACCGGTTTCTTGCACCTTGGCATTGTTCGCAGTTAGTAATAAAAGTTGAGCACTTTTATCTATAAGATTATAACACACTTGGCCTCTATAAGATAGGATGGTTTGTCTCGACCACTGGGGTAGTTGACTCTAAGGCAGTGTGTTAGTGTGTTTGGAGTACACTGAACGGGATTACCATAAGATCACACTATACAATGTACTGTCATTATTTTGATGTGTTTCTTATCTACTAAATTCATAGGCTCTAAATCCTGAGAGATTTAGTGAACTCAAGTTTTAATACTAGTCACTTTAACTTACCAATGTGTGAGATCTTTTTAAGGTAATACCACGGTATCTTGGATGGCTAATATTAGAGTTCTGGGAACACAAATGCTCAACATGTAATCCACACTCTTTATTAGAGTTAGAATATCCCCTTTATGCAATTTAATAAGTTTGATCATTGGAACCTGGTCAGGGCATTTTAGTAAAATGTTTATTAAATTAATTTTCTATTATTTATTTAGAAAAATATATATTTTGAAAATCCTTTTATAAAAGAATTTAATTCAGTGATCATAAGGATTAAATTGGTTACTCAAGTAATATAAAATATAAGTAAGTCTTAGGTGGGACGATATATATTTTCCTAGGGTTACTTATGGATATTCGGTAGTGGAGGGGTTTATATGTAATTATTTAGTAGACAGGGTCTTGTCGTAATTTCTAAACCCTATAGTGCAATTCCAATACTATTGTGGTGCTTATTGTAATTAATTAGATATGATAGAGTTATGAGCTCTATCCAATTGGAGCTAGGATAAGGAAGCCCTTTTGGATCCTCATCTCTAGCCCCAGATATTATAACCGTTTCTCTGGTCATATATTCGGTGATACGACGATACAAAATAGAATTCTCGTACACTATCCAGAATACAGAGAGTGAGAGAAAAGGTTAGGATTCCACAATCTTACATTGGGGTCATAGAGGTGAAGACTCATTGGTATTCAAGGCTAAAGGAGAAAATGTTCATCAGAGCTCAAAGCCAAATAATAGTGTTATTGAATTCAACGATTATTTAATCGTCTAAAGGTATGAGATCCTTTTACAGTATTTGATGAAAAATCACGTGGTTACGCTCTTGAAATTTTTTAAATGCTTCCGTTATGCCTTCAATTGGTATCAGAGCTACCCCGTACTTTTCATCAAATCATAGTGACGATTTGAATACCTGATTATTATCTATGCATATATAGGTTTATATTCATGAATTCTATTTGTTTGTTTCATGAATATTTAATTTATTTATTATTATTATTATTTTATTTGTTTGACCTGTTAATCTATGAGATAGAAATCGGATCACAGTGAATAAAAATAAAATAATAAAATACCTGTTTGCAGCAGCTTGTAATAACAGCCGCTTCTGATCTGTTTTCACCCATGTGATGGGCTTAAAGTTTTACGCACTGGATGAACACAATGACTCGTGATAGAGAAGGCAATTATTTAATTGCTTTTAGAATCACACCCAGGGTTGTTCATTATAGAGTGATGGGATTTCAATATATATATAATGGCACCCATGTGATGGGTATGGTTAACTTTAATAAATATAATATTATATTTAAAGTATTCATAACAGACGACATATATATATATATATATATATATATATATATATATTCTTTTGATTATCTAGTTAATAGTCTAACCCAGTTGTAAACTTTGATCAATTAGTTGACTAGTAGAACAATGATTCATGTGAATTTGTGCATGTACAGTATGTTATTTTTGTATGTAATCTATTTTAATTTTAATATTGAATATATATGTGTCATATTATTTAAGGTTGATTGCCAGGTAAAGGGTAATTAATCATCCCTCTCATGGTCCGGTATTATTTATTATTTAAAGTTTTAATTTATTATTTAATTACATGTGATGTAATTATTTTATTAGTGGCGGCGTTTTAAAGGGCTGATCTAATAAGGATTGGTTTTCCCTAGCTGAATAGGATTTATTTACTTTATCTTATTTAGGATTTTTGTAAGCCCTAAATTGGGTATAAGACAAAGCCTTGTACTATATTTTTTAAATTTAGGGTTGTAGTTCTTGAAGAGTTCAAGAACAGACACAGACAAGATAAGAGTTAAGACTTCCAATGAAGGACTTTGAAGCACGAGATGGTCATGGGATGATATCTAACTGGCCATGAGAGGGGATTTACACTTTTTTGGTGCAATATATTTTTTACTTGTTATGTTTATATTCATGTGATGGTTATATACTTGAATGTTATATTTTATCCATGAATAGTTTTTTCTACCTGTTGGTTAATTTTAAACTAAATAAAATTGGAATAATTTATTTGGGTTGTTTTGGGAAAATTAGCACTTTCCAAAATATTTTCAAAAAATTTGATTTTCTGAAAATTAAATATTTTATTTTTAATTAAAATTTGTGGAAAGTGTAAGATTAACCAATAGTAAAGTTCAAGAAATTGAGCTAAGTTGACCCAAATGGTTTAGGCTCATTGGGCTTAAATTAAATTTTTTTAATGGATTTCAATATTATTTAGATTAAAATTAATATTTTAATATGATGGTATTATAGATGAGATGTATAAAATTTAAGACAACTCTCTAAATTCAAAACAATTAAGTGGGAGCGGGATTTAATCTTAAATTCCACAACCTTCCATTGTCGATCTATTATAAGGTGTAACAAGTACCTCGCCACCAATCTTGGGTGCTCCTCCGGAGGGTATTTGTTTCACTGGTTACTATATATAGATTTCACATGATAGAACTAGTGGCAGACGGATGGGGACGATCACCACTAGGAGACGGATATCATTCAATTGCACTATTTCTAAACAATGGTGTACACTTGACTAAGTGGGAGTACGCTCCACCTTAGGGGGTATTTTCACTTAGAGACCAAGGTTAAATTAGTTGCCATATTTCATTTGGCATGAAATGTCTAGGTAGTGAGGTTTAGTGGAAATTGCTTCCGTCTAATCAAGGTAGTGACATGATCTCTTGATAGTGGCATGTTTATATTGCCCCCCGAGAGAAACGAGTGAATACCTACAGGGATTATGATTACCGATGTTTTCATTACATCAGTGGTTTAGAGAATCTTACTGAAAGACTATATGAAAACTAAAGTTTAATTTTTGTTTCTGAATGTATGCCCTTTTATTTATGCATGAATGTTTATATTTCATATGTCGAATATTTTCAATCCGCTTGTTTCCATACTTAAGGATAACAAATTAACCAGATCGAAC